AATATATAAATATATATATATATATTGTGTATGTGTGTGTGTGTGTGTGTGTGTGTGTGTGACATCAATTATAGATTTTTAATACTGATAGTTAATATCGGAACGTACTCATATGGTAGTATAGAAGGAAATATTAGGTCTGCCGGAAAGTTCTGTCCGATAATGTCATCTCAGGTTTCAACATATATGAACATGTTTATTTGAAACATATATGGCTGCCTCTTTTTACCATTGTCTTTCATTAGTAACGATGGAAATTATATTGTTCAGTAAATATTAATAAATGTATTGAAAATGTATTATTTTCTTTTAATTCGAAAATGGACAGAACTTTCCGGTAGACCTAATATATATTAAATATATATATTAAATAGATTTTTATATTAATAAGTAATAAATTGCCTGTCTCCAATTTTTTTTGACGTTGTCTATGTATAATATCTCTTCACGCTCTCTTTAGCTTAGTTATTTCTTTAAACTTCGTTTATTGCAGCTGATCGGTCAAAAATTGACATTCAAATTAATTCTAGTTTAATCACCTTTAAATCTTACACGAAAGTTCGTGAGAACCAATAATGTGCTATAAACTGCGGTTAGTTAAATATCACGAGAATTTTATATTTAAATCGAGTTGATGAAATTGGGTATCAATTGGAAGTTTCGTTAAGATCACGCGCTAACATCGTGCTCTGATTAGTATATTTATGATAATCATCATCAAACTTAGATTGAGTTAATTGATAAATAATAATAAAAATTGTATCGGTCGACTTGCGTAATCCCGAAATTTGAGAAGTGAGACAGCATCCCAAAAGACAATTTTTCCAGGACACTGAAACCATGCAATGGTCCCAAAAAAGTCGCAGTTCCGAAAACTGAATACCGGAATTTCCTGAAATATTAAAAGCATGAAGTTATCCCACAAAGTGTTATGACGTGATAGTTATCATGAGGAAAATTAACTTATATTAATTTTCAGTTCTGTAACTTGTCGTTCAATTATAATCGAGAAGTTAATAATTTCTATCTATGTTAGCAAGATAGAGTAGATAATATTTCTTCCGACAGCAATTTTAAATTATCGATTTATAGTAAAACATTTATAGTCAAGTTTAATGAAAGTCAATATCTCATATCGTCATATTATTGAATAGCTTTCTATAAAGAAGAATAAATAAGTTGTAAAGTTGTAAATGAGTTATAAGGAAGAATATTGCAGAATTTTCTAAGAATTTTACAGCAAAATTCCGACGTTTTTTAATTTTTCGTTCGTGTAAAATAAGTTCAAAATTTACAGATGAATATTTATAAATATTGTGGAATCTATAAATTTATATTTAATTTATATATTTACAAAAATGTACAATTTATATGGTTGTACTTTTATGTTAAAAATAATTTATATTAACTTATATTATGTTAAATTTAATTAAATTACATTTACTTTAATTTAAAGCGATTATAAAACTGAGTTAATACACATTACTAATCGTATTTATTATTTAACTTGGATTAACTTGGTATTTAGTATCAAGACTGAAAATATAGAACTCACAAGGCTCGCGACATTATAAAGACTTTTTCGGGACGTCCAATCACTTAGAATGATTTACATGCTCTTTCGACTTGGGCGCTTCGAATGCATACACGATCGCGTGTACTGTCACGAAGAGGGAAACATCGTTCTTCGAAACCACGGTCAAGTTTATCGTTGTCATTAGATGCGTGCGAATCTGGTTACCGTGCCGCCCGAATCAAATTGGGGTCGATCGAACGTATGTATATGTACGAGATTGTACACGTAAGACGCATATGGTCGTACTTTGCGCTTTTGAGTATCAGACAAGAAATTCAAGCTCGCGCGCTCAAGTAATGAGACGATGTTACATAAAGAGATTTCGCGGAGACTTGAACGATTACAATTGCATAGATAAAAAACGATGACTAGACTTGATAGATACTGTGAAATAATTTTGCGACATGTCATTGACGTTGATCGATTGTTCCTTAGCATGTAATATCGGTTCACATTACCTGGCATGGTAATGCCAGTACCGTATGCTGAAATGAATAGGGTGCATGACGGAACAAAAGAAAAGATAATGTTTGATAACGCAAATGTGTGAACAGTGAAACTAATTTTTACGTCAAAAATTTATTTTATTATTATTATTATTATTATTTCTATTTATTTGTAGGAAGAATCCTTTAGGTACAACAGATATAATTAATAATTTAATACGTAATAGAGAGAGAGAGAGAGAGAGAGAGAGAGAGAGAGAGGGAGGGAGAGAAAGATACTGTATCATAATGTCAACAATTTAATGAAATGAATGAATTAAAAGCTTTATATAATAGTCGTCTTAAACGACAACAATAACATGGTGAAAATCGATAACATAATTGAATTTGCAAATAAATATGAACGATTAATTGGTTTCAATTTATTATAAAGGGATGTATTATAAAGGCATGGTATATCTCAAAGTGAAAAGATAAGCACTTTTTAAGAAATCTAACGAAAATATTAAATGAGAGTAAATTCCAATTCCAGCAAACTCTAGGCATTCGATCAGCTTTCTCAGAATTTTTAATAAAACGTCTATAAGAACTTAATTGTTTCTTAAAGTTAATAAAGCAAGCTTAAATAATAACGATTCAGCACAAAAAAATTTCGCTGAATATATCTGACATGTGAAATGAATACGTTTTGATCGAAAAACTTAATTTCTGATTATAAGAGCCGAATTTAATTAAATTCGCAAGAACCAGAAATTTCGTTTCTTTCAATCAGAACGCGGTTGGTTTATTCATTATTAGGTAAATTCAACCAAACCTTATTTTTTGTGTATGAATATCTTACGGACACGATTCTAATTAACTATACATTCTCTATGTGATCTGATACATGTCTTATGTGATTTGATATTTAACTTTTCGTTGACACACTTATTTTTTGTTGCTTAGTTTGGCACATTAAATCTGTGGGACCCAATAACTATTTTCACATACACTTTTAATGTCATACACATTTAATTTAAACATACACTTTTAAATGTCTATAAATGTTCTTATCTACATATATATAGTGAATGGATATTATAGTTTTAAATTATTAAAAAAGTAAATATGAAAAATTTGCCGCAACTATTATATATACACATATACGTATACACTATCGGCGTATGTTATATAAAACTTTACAGAACGACTGGAGCTATACATGGAAAATATCAATAAAGGAAAGGGGAATGTACGAACTCTTCGATCACATTCGGAAAGCCTGAAAGTTTCCTTAGTGAAAGTTTCAATCACCTAAGTCTTTCCTCTCGAATCTTGTTGTCAATAATAACTCTTAATTCTTGTTTTACATTCACGGGTCAAATTAACTCAAGCGACAAATTATGATATTATAATTGTTAAATTTTGAAGTATTGCGCATACGAACATAGAATTCTTTTCTCTCATGCACAATTTTCTACTTCCTATGTAGAATTAATGCATTATCTTCTCTCATACCTCAATGTTTATATGTTTATATGTGCAATATTTCAAAATTTCATAACTATAATATTGTAATTTTTCGCTCGAGTTAATTTGACCCATGAGCATTAAATTAGAACTAAGAGTTATGTGATAATAAGATGGGAGAGAAATGACTTCGGCGATTAAGACTTTCACAGAGAAAA